CGAGTGGACCCACATCTACGGCATCTTGCGTCGGAGTCGCAACGCCTTACGGTATTTGAGGTCGCGGACAACCAACAACTCGGGGTTCCGACCAGAGGGTCGAGGCCGGGATGCGCTACGGCCGACTACTTCTTCAATATTGTTTTCACGAAGCCACTTAACGCTGCTGTGGAGAAGCTGGACTCACTGGGTCTGCTTTTCGATTGCTCTGAACTTGATCAAGATGTCCCACTTGTGCGCAAGCACGATGATCATTGCACAAAGTTGGTGGACATCACTTTCGTTGATGATGTCATGATCCCAGCTATATTGGACAACGACATGGTTGTGGAACATCTTCGGCAAGCGATGGACACCATGCACGAATCGTTTATCTCACATTTTATGGAACCGAACTATGGCAGAGGCAAGACGGGTGTTGTGGTTCAAATACGTGGTGCGCAACGGGAACAACTTAGACACACGCTATACTCTGAGGATGCTACGGCCATTAAGAGTGATAAGTACAAGTACGAGTTTTACATTGAACGACAATACAAACACATGGGCTCTATCATATCGTTTGACACATCATGGAATCCAGAGATGGCTCGGCGGGTACAACGGTATGAACATGCAATGGGCCCGATTCGTCGAGGTATATTGTCAAAAAGATCTATTTCGACAACGGCAAAGGTGCGGTACGTTGAGGCTCTGGCCTGCTCTCGCTTATTACAACAGGTTGAGATATGGCACGATATCGGAATGGTGAACGAGGGTAAGATCAATGCAGCATATATTAAAGCGATGCGGGCGGCCACGGGCATGGTGCATACCACGGAGACTGGAGAGCATCTCACAGACCAGGCAGTGCTCTACTGTGCCCAGCGCCCAGGCATATCTGATATACGCAGAATTCGCAGGTTGAAGTACATTGCTCGCGTTCTACACGATGGGCCTGCCACCCTGCGTATGCTAATTGATATCGACGGCCTTCATGGTACTTGGATGGGCCTACTGGAGAGGGATTTTGAATGGCTTCGTCGGACTGTACCCGACCGTACAACCAACCTTGACACGCTGCAGCAATGGATTTCCTTCATTAGGTCTGGTAATAAGAGGTACATCTCGGTCTGCAATCAAGCTTGGCAACGGCATCGTATTTTCATGCAAGGCGAATATCAATTATATGTATGGCGGCGCCACCTTTTGGCTTTTCAGACCATCCCTGGGAGTGTTGGGGACACGGTTGAGAGATACATCTGTTATGAATGTGGCGATACTTTTTCATCACGACGGGCGTGGCAGGGACATCGGACAAGACTACACAGTGGTTTTACCAACGCTGGTGACTATGCAGAAACAGGATACTGCAGGGCATGCGACTCGGACTTTCACACGCGGAAAAGATTGATTTACCACCTGAAGTACAGGGACACGGGGTGCCTTGATTGTTTGCGGGCGATAATACCACCATTACCAGCATCCCTGGTCGAAGAACTGGACGCCAAGGATGCACTGGAGACGTCGCGCTTAAGATCGATAGGGTATTCAGAATCTAAGGCGCTGGCACCACCAATTAGAGGTCCCAACTACGTCCGAGGCAGGCATCAGCATCGAGATCAGGTAGTACCTCCAACAGTACACCTTCCTGCCGAACAGGTTCCTGCAGTTGCTATTCCTCAGTATATTTTTGATGGTCGTTCGGAATCAACAGTGCTGTTACTTACAGATGGATTGGAGTCTCATTGTGAATTTGAGGCTGACTTGGTAGCTCATGAACTTGACGGCCTAGAAATTGTTAGACACGACATTCGGACTTTCAAGATGGACGACCTGATCATGCGGGGCCAAAATAGTGACTTGGTTCGTGACATTTCAGAGGGCAGGATATTTGCGATAATATGTGAAGTTGAGTCAATAACTGCAACTTGTGTGGATTGGGGATCACCATCTATCAATGGAAGGAGACGGGCGGAGCTGGACATGGTAAATACAATACGACGGTTTCTGACATTACTGATTATGGCTTGTAAGTTGTCTGGCACGCCGCTCAGCATCACATCCAGTTTTCACGAATGGTGTTGGCGAGGAAATGACTTCCAGCCTGGCCCTCCGCAAGTTCGGTTTCAATGGCCTGGAGACGCGAGTGAGATGCCATCAGGGCGCTTGGCTGGCGCATGGAGGGGCCGTGCAACACAAGTGCGACGTGCTCGGCTTGAACGGCATGACCCACCACGCGGGCGGCCTGCTGACGGCCCTGGAGAAGGTGGTCCGACCGACCGTCTGAGTCGGACATCGGGCGTGGTCAGCCCCCCTCGGAGGAGCGGCGGGGCCCCCCCCATGGGCCCAATGCCTCCGAGGGGGGCTGTGACGATGTGCCAGCCCCCTGTCGCGCCCCTGGACCCCCCCCATGGGTCCACCCGCGCGGCAGGGGGCTGAGTGGCCGCGGCGGCGTCGTCGGCGCCGTCGGCCGCGGTCGGGCGCGGCCGCGCTTGCGCGGACGCGTGGAGACACTACGGGCAGCCTGCCCACGGAGCGCGAGCGCAGCAGCAGGAGGAGGAGACGGAGGAGGAGGAGGGCGGTGAGGATGAAGGAGGAAGAGATAGAGGAAGAGGAGGAGGAGGAGGAGGAGGAAAAGGAGGAAAAGGAGGAGGAGGAGGAGGAGGAGGAGGAGGAGGAGGAGGAGGAGGAGGAGGAGGAGGAGGAGGAGGAGAGGGAGCAGCTTGGCGAGCCCAGGGGCTTCTGTGAGGGTCTTGGGTGCCTCGTAGATCCTCTTGAGGCATCTTGGGGGCCTCTTGGGGGCCTCTTGGGCGCCTCATGCGGTTGCCTGGGCGCATCTTGGGGCCCGCTTGGGGCGCTCTTGGGAGCTTATAGGAACCCTCTTAGGGCCATCGTGGAGAACATCGATTAAACCAGAGGGGGTGTTCAATCAGGGTCCCCCCTCGGGAGCCCCAACAGTTGCCTCTGAGGCCCCTCTTGGGGCGCTCTTGGAGCGCTCTTGGGCGCTCTTGGGACCGTCTTGGGGCTCTCTTGGGCCCCTCTTGATGCCTCGGAAGGCCATCGAACGCGGAAAGGCGAGCACGTAAACAACAATGATTTCGCTTAGGTTTTGGAAGGATGCGATGCTGGCCTCTTCGGGGCTTCCTTGGGGAGTCCTTTGGCCACTTGGAGCCGTCTGGGAGCGGTCTCTGGGCCTCCTGGAGCATCTTGGGGGCATCTTGAAGCATCTGGGGATATCTTGAGCCATCTTAGAGCTCATCTTGGGCCCTCCGAGGCGCTCTTGGAGCCATCTTTGGCCATCCTGGACGCTCCACCCCCTCGCGGGACCCCCCGTCCAGGTCCAGGGGAGGGTTTAGGGGGAGGGGTCAAGCTACCCAACCGCCCGCAAGCCGTATAGCTCACTCCCACCCGCCCTCCCAACACATAAGTAACACCCAAGCCTAGGCATGTTCAGCGGTCGTCTTTGGATGGGCAGCTACTGGGCACCAAAGCCGACCCCGGGTGCGCGACGCTTGGGCGAGGTGCGCCACGCGTGCCAGGGGCGCCACGCGCTCCGAGTGCGCCAGGTGTGCCGCGCACTCCAGCCGCGCGCGGGGGGGGTGACCCGCATGGGGTCGACATGGCTCCGGGTTGGCCGCCGGCCGGGTGGGGGAGGGTTTTTTTCATAGGGAGTAATGATGGACGCCTCCCCGAAGGGGAAGATGGAGGGGTGGAAGAGGAGGCGCGCTAGACCACCTACGCCCCAAAGGGCGGGTGGGATTCACGGAGGAAGGAGGGAGAAGTGGGGGAGGGTAAGGGGGCGCAAGGGGAGGGCGGAGAAATCCGAGGGGGAGGGGGGGGGAATGCGTTTCTGTCCCTGCCTTGGCTCGCGCCTTCCCGCTTGGACTGTATACCGCTCCCCGAGCGCAAGTGTTTCCAGCGTCCGATCGGACCTTCGATGATCGCACCATCCCCGGACACATCAGACACTTGCAAGTGCCCCCAGCAAGGCACTCTAATGCATAGCAAGATGCCGATGCGCCCCCGAGAGGCTCCAGAGAGAGTCCCCCTATACGGCAGTGAGACGTCGCGAACAGCTCCTGAGCGGGCCCTGTTAAGCTCCTGATAGGCTCTTCAGAGGCTCCTGAGGGGCTGCTGGGAGGGTCCCGAGAAACTCTTGAAAAACTCCTGAGAGGCCCCTGAGGAGGTCATGGGAGGGTTCGGGGATGCTCCAGAGAAGCCATTGAGAGGCTCTTCGGATGCGCCTGAAGGGCTGCCGGGGGGGGGGCCTGAGAGACGCCTGAGATGCTCCCGAGAGGCCCCTGAGAGGGTCCTGAGAGGGTCCGGAGAGGGTTCTCTGAGAGGGTCCTGAGAGACCCTGACCTTCCAGAGAGCTATCTGGAGGCCTAAAAACCTAAACAACTCAGCGAAACAGCCTAAAACCAAGACGTAGAATAGCTCTGGGATAGGTTTTTAGGTCGGGTGCTATTTTTTGGCCCTCCTGGAAGGTCAAGGGAGTTCTGAGAGGGCCCGAGAAGGTCCCGGGAAAGTCCCGAAAAGGTCCCCGACAGCGCCCCGCGAGGCTCCCGAGAAGCTCGCGAGAGGCCTCAATTCTGCACCCGGGAGGGCGCCGCGGGCACCGCCGCGTGGAGAGGTTCGGAATCGCTGTCTGCCCTCGTTAGAGCTCCAAAACAAGATGCTCTCGTAAGGTAGCGAACTGTCCCGCACGTGCTGGCTACCGTCGGGGCCTTGACCTAAGTAACCGTCAATAAGGAACGAGGCCCCTTTTTTCCATAAGTTGACCTTCGATTTCCTGTCGAAAACATAAGGATAGCCTGAGGCAAGCTGTGAAACACTTAACGAACGCGGAGCCCCTCCCAAACAAAAAGGGTTCCTTCCTCAGGGCCCCGACTGTACTGTTGAAAACGCCTTCGATGAGATGCGGAAAAGATCATGATCACGGAACGCAGATCCCAGCCAAAAGGAGGAACACGGCAACCCAGTTTGGTCAAGCCATCTTGACGGGACCCTGCGGGGGCCTCGCAGCGGCTCCGTGAGGTTGCGCCTCTAGTTTAACTAGACGCGCAACCTCACGGAGCCGCTGCGAGGCCCCCGCACCCCTGTGGACACACGGGGCAGCAGTTGGATAATCTACCTGGACCGCCCTCCACAGAACCGCTCCACGGGAACAACATGGAACGCCACGGAAAAGGGTGCCTGGGAAAATATGGGCACAATTCAGCACAGGGGAAACCTTCGGGCAAGGCATCAGGCGCTCGAACGGCGAATCTCGCAGGAGAGCGATGGCTAGGCCCCCATACCGGGCCCACAGCATCGCCAAATATATCTCATCTCCAAAGGGATCCAAGCCCTCGCACAACAATTACGGCTTCTCGCCAATCGGCATGGGGACCTACAAAACCATTGAGGACACCCATGATAGCTTAACACGTCTTGCTTGGCAGACGCTCATGAGTTTTCCGCAGCACCTTCCAGATTACAACGTACCATCCACGCGCCAATTTCGCACAGCCGATCACTGAAGCTGCCAGGCTAAAGCCCACTCGACATTGAACAGTGGATCGTGCTGGTGTGCAGGTATGCTCTTAAGTATGTGTTGTGGTTTCTGGGGTCCTGGCCCGTTCATCTTTGGCATGCTGTGTATGCGTGTTTGTTTGCGACTTGGTTGCGCACGCACTCCCCAAACATTGTTTGCACTGACAGCTTCATATGTGTGCTCGAACATACTGGCATGCCTGCCTCAGTTCTGCTGGTGGCTGCTTGCCTGTATGCATATGGCTTGGCATCCGATGAAACACAATACAGTCCCGCCCCAATTGTCCTGTGCGCCGCAGTTGCCATCGTGGCTGGTTGGACCCCGATGGGTCCCTTGTGACCTCCATGGCTTCGCCCCCCTGTGGCCCTTCAGCTGCACTTGCCACCATGGCTGGTTGGATCCCGATGGGTTGTACGGATCTCTATGGCTCCACCCGTCAAAGGCCCCGTGCTCCTTCCGCACTTGCCATCTTGTTTGCTTTGGGATCCCTGTGGGCGGTGTGGACCTCTATTTCCACATAGCCCTGTGCCATGTGTTTCGCACTCACCACCGTGGCAGCTTTGATTCCCATTGGTTCCATGGATCTTCATGGTCCCCTCTCTCTGGCGGTCCTGTGGGTTACATGCACGTGGGGTTCAGCACACATGGGGCTCCCCACTGCTTGTGCGACTCAAGTGCGGTTCGATATGCACGCGCTGGCATCATTGCGTTATTCTTCGAACTCGGCCATGCTGGCCAAGACTGTAGACGCGCTGGACAGAGGAACAAGAGTCTAGCAGTGCATTTTTGCGTTATTTCCTTAACTTCGCCTCCTCAAGATGACCGTTGAGGATCCATGGTCCACGATGGCGTGGCCGCACAAGCTAGCTGCATACACTAACGCCCACTAAGGCGTGGCCGTCTGAACGGCGGTGCACCTCGCGACTGCGAGCGGGCGGGGATGCTGAATGCATCATGCATGCTTGAATGTCTGTCTGCGCTTGCCCGCCCGCAGCTTCGGCCGACAGCTTGGAGCCCGCGTAAGCCTGCCCGTTTTGAAAAAACGTCTCGCTGAGCGTGCGCTGTCGGCAAGCGCAGGGGGGGGGGAAAGCTTGACTTGGCATCAGTGCCGCAACAGGAAGCCAGTCGGATGGTTCGCGGCGCTGGCGGACAAGGTCTCGAGAGGAGGCCTGCCCAGGTCCAGGGACCACGTCCCCGCCTCCATGTAGTTCAGGAGCATCCTGGAGCCGACGACGCTCAAGACCAGGAGCAGGTTGTCGTAGGCTCCGCCCAGCGCCTCGGCGAGCACGCAGGCAGCGCCGATGGCCAAACGCTGCGCCAGGGTGGCCGGAGGTGCGAAGCTGATCACGGTGAAAAACAGGACCGCCCCGCTGCCGAACAAAGTCTTCTGCGTGTCCGCCTGGCGCCACCAGACGGGGTTCCACATCTTGTTGCTGCTGAGGTACTTGCCCACCACAGCGCCCATGGGATCCGCAAAAAACATGGGTGCCAGCACTCGGATCGGGAGCTCGTAGTAAAACCAGAACATGGCAACAATCATGTATACTGTCATGCCTACGTCGCGCTTGCGCTGGAAGCGGAATGGCTTGATCTTCGGCACGAGCTCCCACGTTACGAGCATCGCTCCGATGCCGATGGCGTACACGAAGCACCGAGCAAGGGTATCTCTCGAGTCCAGCTGCAGCAGCAGCAGTCCGGTGCCGGCGTGGGTGAGCTTCCTGGCATGGAAGTCCGAGATGCACGAGCGGGGGCTTTTCTCCATGAAGGTCAGCCAGCACACCTCCAAGCACGCATACAGAGCCAAGAGCTGCGGTGTCACCGCCACCATCGCTCCCTACCCGTAGCGGCCCGCGCGCCGCCGATGCGCCGCGCGGTTACAAAACTCGTCGCTGCGCCAGACGACGACTTACTCTTGACTGAGCATGGCTTGAGCCCAAAACCACTGGGTCTCGAGTCACGCATCTGTTAATTGGCAAGGTGGAGCGACAGTTGGAAGATACGTAGTTGGTTCCAGATGACAGTGAGCTTGGTAGCACATGTGACTGCCCCTCAATGTGTGCTGAACGGAACACTCCGGGGATCCAAGAACATCCGACGCGACCCACAGTAGTGGTTTCATATGTTGCCGCAAAGAAGCCAGGGACGAGCTAAATGCCAGGCTACACACAACTAGAAGTAGTGTGACTGGCGATATAATGCTGACAACATGTATGTCGGACGGATATGAAAACAACGCGGAAACCAAAGGGAACCTGATGGCCAATGTTATGGCATTGCGTTGTGTTGCTTCGATTAACATGATGTTGGCAAGCTTTGCATTGAGTTGCAGTGTGGCGCGGTACATTTCATTGCTTAGCGTGCTTTATGATGGCTGGCGCGGTAGGGTATTAAATGATTCACCGTGGCATTGAATTTAGTCATATGGCATGACGTGGCGTTGGTATGTGCTGCGATTGGTTTGCTTCGAGTTGCGCAGCGCTACGGCATATGATGCCCGTCCGGTTTGCATTGTTTTGCTGTTCGCTCGGGTTGCATTGGCTGCGATGCTATTCATTGTAATGCAGGTTGTTTGCTTTGTTGCACTGTGCATATCCTTGAGAACTGTGGGGCATGCCCGAAGACAAGGTCAGAGTTGCATCGAGGAACCCTTCTGCGAATCACCACCAAACGCCCTTGCCGTATTGCTGAAAAGGAGATAATTAGGGCCACATGGAGCCACACCCTATTGAATGAAACAGGCAAGCGAAGGAATGGGATGTTCACGCCACTCTTCTCGTGTGTCAACCCAGAACGCTTCTTCCGCGAAACCGTCGTCCCAAAACCTCGCGGCAGGAGCCAGAAGGCCAGACCGGAGTCGGGCCGAGCGCAGCAGGAGACTGGGAGAGACCGCTCAGAGGAGAGCAAGAGGCCACCGCCACCGAGAACCCATCGTGGGGGAAGGAGGGGAGGAGGAGGAGGAGGAGGAGGAGGAGGAGGAGGAGGAGGAGGAGGAGGCGACCCCTGGGCGGTGGCACGCCGGAGCGCCACCCGGCAGGAGAGGACGACGCTCGAGCGTGCCACCGCTCAGCGGCCGGGGGCAACCAGAAGGCACTGGCGCCGCCACTCCGAAGGGGTGGGTTCTGTGGAGAATGCAGCCGTGGGGACGAGGGCTCTCTCCAGGATGAGCAGCGGCATCGGCAATTACCTTCTCCTCCCCTGAAGGTCGGGACCCCAAGTGGATGCTCGATGGCGGTGGCCTCTGTGCCTGCTCCGAACTGCACTGGGGTGCACACTTGCCCTGGGCGGCCCCGTTGGCCGAGCGGTGCTGGCCGTGATGTCGAGGAATGTTCGCTAGACGCTAGATGCGACGCCCCGCGCTGGCCGAGCGTGGGACGGAGATGAGAGGCAAGCAGGACAAGAGGACAGGCAGAGTCAATAATGTATTGATATACATAATACCATTACGCATCTGTCCTAGTCATAGAAAACCATACAAAAAAAAGATATCATGTGTGGCTGATGCTGCGAACTCTGGAAACCCGACCAGATTGGCATCTCCTGGGGGCGCGTCTTCTACTGCCACCGCCTCGGGGATCTACCGACCCGCGTCAATCCAGACCCAGGTCAGTCGAGCCTTGCAGGATCCTGCAGGATCCTGCAAGATCCTGCACCCGAGCCCGTGTCAATGCAACCCGGGCCGTGCAGGATCCTGCAAGATCCGGCGCTCTGGCCGACCGCCGTTTGCATTGACAGGAGGAGGAGAAGGAGGAGGTGGAGTAGGAGCAGGAGGAAGAGGAGGAGGAGGAGGAGGAGGAGCCCCGACGCCCTTTGCCGAACTATTCCGCCGGCGGGGCCCGCCCTCGTCTCTTGCTCGGCCACCCTCCGCCATCCTCCCGCCGCCTTCCGCCGGGAAAGAGACGGCAACTCCTTCAATCCCTCGACGGCAGGGCCCTGTCTGGAGCGCCTCGTGTGCATATATGTGTATATATATGTGCATATTCATGTGTGTATAAAGATTTGTATAATAGATATGCAAGTTCACATGCACGTAGATGTGTGTACACGTACACCATATTTAGATGTATTTGGAGGTAGAAAAAGAGAGAGAGAGAGAGAGAGAGAGAGAGAGAGAAAGAGAGTCAGAGACAGAGACAGAGACAGAGACAGACAGATTGGGCCAACCCTCTCAGATGTCCAGCATGGCCGAACCTGGGCAACCCCGGACATGCCAATACCGTGGCTCCACGGACCTCTCCCGGCCTGCGCTCTGACCGAAAAGCACGAGGCGAACCCAGCAGTGGCGACGAGGGCCTCCCAGGAAACCCCCGACAGGGGAGAAAACGAGGCAAGGGTACTCCAGATTTCGTAATAAAAGGGAGGGGGTCTCATTTCGGGGGGGGGGGTCTCTTCCAGGCTATCTTGGAGGCCCTGGGGGTCCTGGGGACGATGTTTTGGAGGGTTCTCCCACGGGGGGGGTCTGAAATGGCTTGTCTTGGAGGGTCCAGACCCCCTCCCTTTTACGAAATTTGGGGTAGCGGCATCGGTGCCTTTTGCCTCCCCCGTGAGCCTGCGTCCACCACGAACACCATGGCGACAACGTTGACGTAGAAGATCCGATGGTTGATCGAGCTGGTCGCCTTCAGGGAGCAAGCAATGCCATAAACATGAAGACTCGGTCCGCGCCGATTTCGCGAATCGGCGCTGGACCTCCCTCCCTGGCGCGCGGAACGCGCTGGAAGCGGCGCCTGAAGCGCCGCCAGGGGGCCCCAGCGCCGATCCGAGGAATCCGCGCCGGACCTCAGAGTTTTATGTGTACTCCAGATTTCACCATACAAGGGGGATGGTCTGATTTGGGAGGGGCTGACTTGAGCTGTCTTGGAGGGTTCCGCGGGGGTCTGGGCAAAAGGCCGCCCTTTCATGGCTGGTCCAGGGGTGGTCGGAAGCCGCTCGTTTGGGAGGGCTGTGACCCCTCCATTTGATCACGAGATGTGGAATACAGTAGCACAAGACACCTGCCATGAGAAACCCCACCCTGAGCCCCCAGGACGCCCATTGAGCTCTGGCCTGGGAACGCCACGCCCTCCCTCACAAAACCATCGGCACCCAAGAGAGCCAGGGGCACCCTGGAGGCAAGCGCAGGGCGTCTCTTAGCACGGGCTCCCACTGCACAGGCCACTGCTCGTGCCCCTCGGCCTGCTGCGTGGCCGTGTAGTGCAGCAGCGGCGTCTCCGGCGACGACGACTTCGTGTACGCGGCGAAGCCTCTGGCGAGGCCCGGAGGGCCCTGCGCGGGCCGCGCCGCCGCCTGCGCGGCGGGCGCCGCCGCCCGGGCGGCGGCGCGGCGGAGCATGCCGGCGAGCATCGCGGGGCCGCGGGGTGGACGGGCAGCGCCCGGGGCCGAGCAGGTCCTGAAAGGAAGGGGGGTCCTCAGATGGCTCGCCGTCCTCGGGAAAGGGCTCAGGACGAAGACCTCGTCCCGAGGGGGAAGGCCCCATGGGTCCAGGATCCGCCTCCCTCGGGACCCGCGTCCCCCAGGCGAGGGGAAGAAAGCGGAGGCCACGGCCGCGGCCCTGTGGCGTTTCTGCATCCACCATGGACACCATGACCATGCCCACCTCCACGAACCATGACCATGACAGCCTGCGTCCACCACGGACACCGTGAGCATGACCTCCTCCACCCAACCCCCCACCGCAGGTCAACCAACGCAGCACACCCAGGACGCGCCCCGCCTCCACCACACTCCACACCACCTCCTTCTCCTCCCCAACTGAGGCTGAACACAGGAACGTGGTGCCGATCTTGGTCACCGTCCATCTTGGTCAGCGTCAATTCGTGGACAGTCCTCGCAAATCGGCGACGGCCAGCATGGATCATGACCACGACCGGCGTCGACTAGATCCCGCGACATCATGGTCATGGTCAGTGTGTTTCTTCCCCTGGCAGGAGCCGCCCGCCTGAGCGCACGATGGGCCGGCGAGAGCTTCCAGGCTCGAGCCCACACGGCAGCGGAGTCACGCCAGTCGACTCGTGAGGACGACTGGGTGGAGAGATGCACTGTGCCCAGGCTTATAGGAGCTTCATTCTCGAAGCTGGCACCACCTCGCTGCACATTGCCCGTGCCAGATATATCGTAAATCCATATCATACGAGCGGAAGCGGTGGCTCCGAGCCTCTTGACCCAACGGGCATCCACCATCGAGCCAATGCTCGTGCGTAGTTGCACGGCCCTGAGCAAACGAGCGCCGAGCCCTATCGAGCTCTGAGTCAGCACGCACCCGAAGGACCGGCGAGACACCGACAAGTGGTTGTGACGTCCCAGAATGCCCCAAACGTATATGCCCCCACCCCACGTCCATGCCCTTGCACGACTGCAGCCATGAAGTCAAGGCCCTCATCAATCCGAATCGTGCGTGGAAGCACGGGGCGTCCCAGTAGCCCTCTGGGCGCTGGTAGCTTAGCGAGCCGGCCCTGCCCAACCATATCTGCCCGTCGACATGCTGCTTAGCCTCGAGTGGGCCAGCCTCGCCTGGACCAGAGCGACTTCATGGCTCCACGATGGTTCCGGGCAGCCCGAGGTATTCCAAATCCCTTATTAATCGTCCCCCGGGTCCGGTTTTTTAAGGCGCCTTTTTGGTCATTAAGGGGGTCCGGTTTATTAGGTCGCTTTCTTTGGATTGGAGCTGAAGGGGTCTTGTTTATTAAGGCGCCCCATCGAAGAAGGGGTCCGGAATATTAGGTCGCATTTGGAGGGGGGTCCGGCTTTTTAGGGGGGGGGTCGATCAATAAGGGATTTGGAGTAGCCTTCAAGATGGCGCGGGTTGGTCCAAGCTGGCTTCGAGAGCCCCGAGGACATGGCTCCCTGGGCGCTCTGGGACGGCCACCTGATGGCCCCGAGGTGGCCCATGGCCCGCCAAGGATGCCGACCTGCTGAGAGGTAACATTAAAAAACAAATCCACGCACACATGTAGTTCTGCGGCGCTTGCCTTGTAGCTTGTTCGACATCAGGTGGGCTTCCGATGCACCAGTATGGCCACGAGATGGTCGAAGAGTGCGCCAGGAGGGGCCCACCAGAAGCAACGATCCTAATCGAGGATCGCCTCGTTTGGTCGAAGGGCCATCGCCAGGCGTTCCGCAATCAATACGGTCGCGAACTCTTGCTTAGCGTGTCGCGGCGGCGGCCCCGGCAAAACGCTACGCCTGGCGAACGGAAGCCGTGTCGCTCCGCTCTGCGGGCCGGGAGACCTCGAAAGGCTCGGACCGTTGACGCCCGGGCTCCGGCACGTGGATAGCGTGTCGAGCCGAAGCGTGGTGGAGGCGGAGCGACACGCTATCCAAAAGTTCCCGACCATAAGCACCTCAACATCGCTGCCATCCGCCATCCCGCGCCTTGGGCCGCGAGGCGGTGCTCCGCCATTCACCGCACCCTGCTCCCCAAAGGGTTTCAGGTGTTGGAGGCCCGATCAGGTCCTGCGGATACATTCGAGACAGACCTCCCCACTCCCCCCCAAACGCCCTCATCCCGCCCCGTCTCCATCATCCTGCCCTCCCTTCTCCCCCTCCTCCTCCTCCTCCTCCTCCTCCCTCCTCCTCCTCCTCCTCCTCCTCCTCCTCCTCTTCCTCACCATACGATTCTCTTCCACTTCCCCTCCAAGAGTATCCTCCTCCTCCTCCTCCTCCTCCTCCTCCTCCTCCTCCTCCTCCTCCTCCCCCTCCTCCGCCTCACTGGCATCCCGCTTCTGCCCCTCCCTCCGCCCCCCCCCCCTCCGCCTCGACCCCCCGGCCCTCCGCCCCCGACGAGCGCGGGGCACGGGGGGGGGGGGCAGCAGGCGAGCGCCGCACGACCTCGGCCCCTCCTCGCCCAGCAGTGGGGGCGACCGCGCGGGGCTCCGAGGTCCGAGAGCCGGCCGCCCCTCGGGCCGGGCGGCAGTGGGCCTTGAGAGACTCGGCTCGCGCGGCTGCTCCTCCGAGGCGCCTCCGAGCGCCGAGAGGCGAGGCGAGGCGAGGCGACGCCCAGCTCGCCCGTGGGGGGCGGCCGCGCGCGGGGCTGGGAGTGGGAGCCGGGGCGCCGCCTCATTCAGTCAAGGGGCGCCTCCGAGCGCCAGAGGCGGCCATGTATCGAGGAGCGGGCCCCTCGGCGGGGCCGACACCAGCTGCACGCGGCAGATTTCGTATACCCCCCCCCCTTGCCCAATAGTCTCCCCCTCTCGTCCGGCCCGAGCCTCGGCACCCCGGCGCCCTGGCCAGGGGGGACATCGTTCCCTACGACCTGGCCCGAGATCGCCACGGCGAGGGCCGCGAGGACGACGACGACGAACGACGACGGACGACCGACAACTGACGACGACAACGGACGACGAGAAACGACGACGACGAGGACGAGGACGAGCGGACGACGACGAGAAACGACGACGACGATGACGGCGACCACGACGACGACCACGACGACGACGACGACGACGACGACGACGACGACGACGACGATGACGACCGACGATGCGAATGCCGACGGTGACGACAACGAAGGCGACGTCGACGACGACGACGACCAAGAGATCCCTGGATGCCCCCGCCCTCTCCCCAGGTCCTGCATATCATTCTGAGTTGATGATTGACTTGGCGGCGCGCACAAAGAAGTAGGGGGAGAGGGGAAGGCTTCGTCGAAGGAGGCTGCTTCTGAACAGGCGCGGGCCTTATCTCTAGATGCAAGGCCCAGCCGCACCCTCTAGTCATAGGGTGCTCCTAAGAAGCCTCCCCCCCTCCCCCATACCCCCCTTCTGCGCGTGGCTGATTGACGCTCCGGGGGCCTCTCCGAAAGCCCCCAGCCCCCGGAGCTCGCAAGCAGCGAACCTCCGCCCTGGATGTCCCAAGACGCTGGAGGTCTGGGGCCGGCGACGGCGACGCGACCGCCGACGCCGACGAGGACGGCGGCAGCCCGAACACGCCCCGGCGGCGCCCAGGCCGCGGCGCTGCCCTGGAGCGGTGACGAGCAGCACGCAGGACCAGCCGAGGCGACGGCACCTCGAAGTCCCTCTCTGGACCCCTCCGTGGGCCTCCGCGCACCAGTCTTCCGGGCCGCCTCCGGCCGCGGCGCCGAGGGCCCCCCCCGAGGGCCGGCCAACGTGGTCCCGCCTGGCCCTCCCCTGAGACGAAGGCGACGACGACTCCGACCACGACGACGACGACAACGACAGCGACGACGACGACGACGACGACGACGACGACGACGACGACGACAACGACGACGACGACGACGACGACGACGACGACGACGACGACGACGACACCGACGACTACGGCAACGGCGACGACGACCGACAACCGACGACGACGACACCGACCGACGACCGACGACAACCGACGAGACAACGACGCCGACGCAGACGAGGACGGCGGTGGCCCGCACATGCCCCAACGGCGCCCAGGCTGCGGCGCTGTCCTGGAGCGGGTGGTTGTCCGACCGGAAGACCAACTGCTGCTCCCGGTGCGTGCCGGCCTCACGCCGCAGGCCTCCTCTTCCTCATCCGCATCAATCCTCCTGCGTTCTGCGACGTCTTCTTCCTCCTCCTCCTCCTCCTCCAACTCCTCCTGCTCCTCCTCCTCCTCCTCCTTCTCCTCCTCCTCCTCCTCTTGCCTACTTCCTCTCCCCACAACCTCCTCCTCCTCATCCTCCCCTTCCTCCTCCTCTTCCTCCTGCTCGCCTTTTCCTCCTCATCCTCCTCCTGCTCCTCCCCCTTCTGCTCCCCCTCCTCCTCCTCCTCCTCCTCCTCCTCCTCCTCCTCCTCCTCCTCCTCCTCCTCCTCCTCCTCCATTCCTCTTCCGTACAAATAGCTCCTCCCTGTCGCGCCCCGAGGCCTGTCGAAAGGGCGGGCCGGGCGCGTCGCCTGAGACTTCCGTACCACTTCTGAGCATGAAGCACAATATCTGACAACAGCTTCACATATGGAGGGCGGGTCGCTTTCAAAATGTGGTTCTCGCTTTAGCGCCGCGCTCATTGGTTTTGTAGATTTGCAAAACATTCACGGATTGAGGGCGGGTGGTTTTCAAAATGTAGCTCGCGCCGTAACACCGCGCACATTCGTTTTTTACTTCACGGATTGAGGGCGGCTCCTTTTCAAAATGTAACGCTCGCCTTAGCGCCGCGCACATTCGTCTTAAACATTCGCAAGCATTTCGTGGATTCCCATGGTCAACGTGTCAGAGATGGCTTTCTGGAAGGATTCAGGATTGAGGGCGCAACAGCTGCGTTGATTCGCGGTGTTGGATTCCCAGAAACGGCGCTCTGACACGACTCCAGATCTTCAAGACACAACAGCTGGTTCGTGGCGTTGGAGACCCGAGAATGGTGTTGTGGCGCGCTTCAGGGTCTTCAAACGGTTGTCTCCGAACGAGGCAGCTCCCTCAGTGGAAATGTAGAGGTAGCTTGGAGAGAGCTTGGAGGGAGCTTGGAGGGGGTGTTTATCCCAACATTGTTGGTAAGTCTTTGGTTTACACTGGTCCTCCTCCTCCTCCTCCTCCTCCGCCTCCTCTTTCTGCTACCGTCAGGAAATTGTGCTTAGCGTGTCGCGGGGGCGGTAAAGGCTCGGGACATGGACGTCTGGGGACCGGGAAGTGGACCCCAAAATATTCAAAATACTAAAAAAAAATGTCCCAGAACTATTTTTTAACTATTTTTGACTCTTCCACCTGTGGAGGGACAGGCCAGACTTAACGGTAAAGGCTCGGGACATGGACGTCCGGGGACCGGGAAGTGGACCGCGTATCGCGCCGAAACGTGGTGGGCCAAAACCAGCTGCGCGACACGCTAAGCCCGCCCGTACGTCCTCCTCTTCCACCTCCTCCTCCTCCTCCTCCTCCTCCTCCTCCTCCTCCTCTTGCCTGCTTTCTCTCTCCACCTCCTCCACCTCCTCCTCCTCCTCCTCCTCCTCCTCCTCCTCCTCATCCTGCTCTTCCCCCTTCTGCTCCTCCCCCTCCACCTCCTCCTCCTCCATCACCCCGAGGCGTGTCCGTAGGGCGAGTCCGGGGGTTCGCCTGAGACCTATGACCCTCATGCTGGAATTTCAAGGGTGTCACGGATGGATGGCGGGCCGTTTTCAAAATGTGGTTCTCGCCTCAGCGCCGCGCATATTCGCACGAAAGTGTTGCAAGAGCTTCACGGATGGAGGGCGGTTCGTTTTCAAGATGCGGTTCTCGCCTGGCGCCGCGCACCTTCCTATACTAGTCGCAAGAGCTTCACGGACGGAGGGCGGCTCCTTTTCAAAATGTGGCTGTCGCGACAACGCCGCGCGCATTCGTCTTAAGTGGTTTGAAGCAGCTTCACGGATGCAGGAAGGTGCTTCGAGCGTGGCAAAAGGCAGGGGAGAAGAGGAGGAGGGAAAAGAGGAAGAAGGCGGGGGGAAGGAGGTCGCGACCGGAACGCTCTATTCGAAACGAGAACCCAACGCAGGAGAGTTGGGAAAAACGGCAAACGCTGGAAACTATGGACTACAGACCAGCCAGGAGGGATCGGAGGATGTGACCATTCACACAAAGCTGACCGAGTTCAGCACTACGAAGGCAAAGAAGCCTCTGCCTGGCTTTGAAAGCCACGTCTCACCAGGTCGGCCTTGCGCTTCTTCTGGGTCCAAATGGAGGGTCTGGCTGCTGGCCCTGGACACTCGACGTTCATGTTAGACCGCCCGTTCCACCCCTCATTCCCAGCACACGTGGCCCCACTCTGGGTTTTGCAGACCTTGGACCCGCGGGACACCACAGAGTGGGCAAGGCCCACGAAAACATCCAGCTCGTATGATGCCTCCCCTGGCAGCTCTTGCACGGGCCTCAGGACCTCCCGCTCGGCCGCCAGGGCGAACTCAACACACGGACCCCGATCGGCCCACCGAAACACTGCAGACCCCCGCTTGCCCGGTGTGGAAATGCGAGTGAAACATTTGGCTGCCCCCCTCCCCCCCTGACCTTCCAGGAGGGCTAAAAAATAGCACCCGACCTAAAAACCTATCCTAGAGCTGTTATACGTCTTGGTTTTAAGCTGTATCGCTCAGTTTTTACCTAACAGCTTGTTCTGATAGGTTTCTAGTGGTGTCAAAAGAGAGCAGCAGATGACTCCACAGGGGGGTCTGGGCGGGTGCCGGACAGGGTGCCGCAGAAGTCGTTTTAAGCCAACAGTCGCACACTTCGTGCTCTTCGACCTCCCAGAACTCCATTCCCGGGCCACATTCTGAATGCCCGGAACCAACTGTAGGCCACTTCGTGCTCTTCGACTTCCCAGAACTCCATTCCCGGCGTACATTTTGGATGCCCGGAGCCAACTGTAGGCCACTTCGTGCTCTTCGACTTCCCAGAACTCCATTCCCGGGCCACATTTTGAATACCCGGAGCCAACTGTAGGCCACCCAGATCATGCGTTACCGAAAAATTTGGGGAACGATCGGGAACGACCGAGACCGACCGTTACCGACGAAATTTCGGGCTCGGTCGGTCGCGGTCGGTCGCGGCCGATGTACCTATTTCGGGCTCGGTCGGTAACGAGTTTCCCGACGAATTCGGCGTGCTGAGACTGACAAACGCACCCTCCGCTACCGTCCGTTACCGATCGTTGCCGACCGCTACATTCGCTTTAAACTCACGTATGACGGTGTATAGATATCTAGATGCGTTCGTATATTCATGCGCTCGCTGTACCTTACCATCGACTTACTGCGGCTATTACCTGTACCTTACCATCGACTTACTTACCTTACCATCGACTTTACCATCGACTTACTTACCTCCATACGTTCAAGTTGGCCATTACCTTCGACTGTACTGCGGAGAAGGGTGGAGGAGGGACGTGGAAGAGGAAGGAAGGGAAAAAGGGGGAGGTGGCAGGAATGGGGGAGGGGGCAGGGGCGGAGAAGGAAGGAGATGCAGAGTGAAGAGGAAGGAGGTTGGGGAGGAGGTTGAGGAGGTAGACGGAGGGAGGAGGACCGCGCCGTTCGGGCCGCCTTTTCAAGCGCGGGGCCCGATCCGCAGCCTCCTCGGGGCCCTCCAGCCGCAGCAGCCCGCGGGAGAAGGAGGATAACGAGAGTGGACGGCGGGGTGAAAGGGGTGGAGGGGATCGAGGGGGAGGGCAAGGGGATGGAGGGGATCAAGGGGGAGGAGATGACACGGGGGATGGACACATTGGGACGCCTGTATAGGGGGCGAAGGGGGGAGAGGATTCGCAGGGAGGGGACGACGACGAGGATGATAATTCCGAAGAAAGGAGATATCGCGAGGTGGAGGAGGGGGCAGAATGGCGAAATTCCAGTCTCTTCTTTTTCCTCCCCCCTTTCTTCCCCCCCTCCTCCTCCGTCTCCCCCCCCTTCCTCCTCCCATCCTTTCTCCTCCGCCCCCTGCCCCCGCCCCCCTCCTCCCCGCCCCCCCCTCAAAACATAGCCCCCGTCTTTCCCCCGTGGGGCAGGTGGTGTCAGAGCGGGGGGAGACTGCGCAGCGGGGGCCGTGCGCCTGGCGCGCCTAGTCCAGGCAGCACCTCGTGAACTCCAAATCCGACGCCCACCCGTGGGCAGGCGCATGAACATGAGGGATGAAGAAAATACCCTACTCTGGGTTACAAGCGCGAGGCCTGCAAACCTCCTGGGAACCCCCAAAGCCTAGAGCCGCCAGGACGCGGCGCATCACGCAGGGTTTACCTTGTCAGCCCGCAGGAGTTTCAACGCACAGCGCATCGTAAACCAGGGTAGGGGCGTTTTTTTTTTCTGCCCTTGATGAAAGGCACCACCCCAAAGGACAAGAAGGATGATGGGGGGGTAGGAGAACGAGGGGGAGGAGGAGGGGTGGGGAGGAGGGACATAGGGCACAGGCTGGGGAGGGAGAAGAGGTCAGGGATGGAAGAAGTGATCGGGATGATAGGCACAAGCGGCGACGATGAAGACAACCGACGTCGCGGGGGTCGAGGAGCGAAACGGGCGGGAAATAGGAAAGAGGGAAGAAATAAGTCGGGGCCGTCCCCTTCCCACGCTGCATCCTTCCGCGTCGTCCTTCCCCATTCTTCCCTTCTCTTCGTCCCCGCTGTTCCTCTGTTTCCCCTTCCGCCCTCTGCGTCCTTCCTCGCCCTCCCTCTCCTCGCCCTCGTCATCGTCCTCGTCCTTCTCCTCGTCCACCTCCTCCTCCTCCTCCTCCTCCTCCTCCTCCTCCTCCTCCTCCTCCTCCCCCTCCTCCTCCTCTTCCGCCTCCAAGGCGCGGGTGCTTCGTGGGCGAAGTCCGCTATATGCCTCCCGCACCGAATCCTATCGGCAATTTTGCTACTGACCTGGTTAATGGGAGTCCCTATGGCGCAACCACTCCCAACCCGCGTAATGAAACGCTGAAAGTCCTCGGGTTGGTAGCACCACGTGAATCTAGGATTCAGTGGCGTTTGCCTCACTAAGTGGAACAAGAAGTGGTGTTTGTGCACCGCCGGGTACTTGAACTTCGGCCTGGGGACAGCATTGAACGCCTGGTCCGACAAGTACTGGCAACACGTGAGGAAGTCGTCACCAGCTTTAATCGGCCGTTGACACTCTGGGCCAGTGAGAAACATGCCACCACTATCTATCACCTCATACGCCTTCTGCAACGACTTCCACATCAACACGCGAATCTTTGCGCGGTCCGAACCGTCGCAATATTCTTGCGCCAACCGCAGGCACACGTTCACCAGACCACGGACCTGGGCTGCCTTAGTGGCTTTTGACAAAACAGGAAAGTCCTTATGAGGCGAGTTCGTGTCAGATACAAAGAGGCCGAGCTTGAAGGAATTCATGCGATGCTCGGTGCCTTCTTCCACGTAGAGGGCCTGGATGCGGCGCCAGAGGCGCTCGATCCTGCCAGCTCGAGGCCCGTGTTCGGACTCGAACACTATTTCATACCACAAGTTGGCCACGCTGTGGGCTGTCGTTCCGAGGTCCATTGTATGCATGACGTCTAGAGCGAGGGTCGCGAGGGACGCGCCCCAGATGTCGAAAAAGGGGTGGTCTACTGCGTAAGGCCGAACGTGGTGTCTCCAATGATCTGGAGAATCACCGTTGAAGTTGTTGTACGGGTTTGTTGTCTTGTTACACGGGCACAACCAGCAGAATTCATCACACCCCGAAGATGGCATACCTAAATATGAGGAATAGAATTCCAGGTCCCCAAGTACTGCGTATACAAATGCCCTGTAGTTAGTGTCCTCATCTGTCAACCACTGCCCTGCCAATCTCTGCCTACTTGGGTCTAAGCGGCCGCCCTTCCAATCCGACCCCCTCAACCAACCGAGGGACGGCGGCAGGGTCGGGCACGACATCGACGAACGAACTATTCCTCGTTCCCCGCCTACCTTCCCGCCCACGCCACCACCCTGCCTCCGTCCACTGCCGAGCTGGGCCTACCAGCTGCACGGAGGCGCAGACTGCGCGCTGGCGCTGGCCGCGCTGCCGCGCGAGGCAATGCCCGTCGGGGCCGCAGGCGCCACGGATGCAAGAGGGAGGCGGGAGATGAGATGAAAGGCTGGCCCCACAGACTAAAACCTCTTCCCCCACCGCCTCCTCCTTCCCACCCCTCCCCTCCCCCACCCCCCGTTTCGTCCTCCGTCCCTCTCTTCCGCCCGACCCCATATCATCCCCATCCCCTCCCCCGCCCCCCTTCCCTTCGTCGTCCTCCTCCGCCTCCTCCCCCTCCCCCTTCTCCTCCTCCTCCTCCTCCTCCTCCTCCTCCTCCTCCTCCTCCTCCTCCTCCTCCTCCTCCTATTCCTCCTCATAGTGTGACCCTGGTGTGTTTGTGACTGGCGTAGCCTTGGCATCGGTTGAGGGGTGCTTACCTGTGGAAAGCGCATTGAATGACCATTTCAGAACTTGCCAAACCTCGACAAACGTGTCCTTACCCTCGTGTTTTGCACGCTTGGCAAGCGTGCTGAGGGGCCAAGACACTAAGTTCATGGTGAGACTTTTGGTGGATCCAGTGGCGAGTAACCCCGTCATCGATAAACTGACCAACGAATCCCTCGTGAGAAATTCGGCACCATCACCGTGTATTCTCAAAGGAAGGCACGTTGTAGCTCGGTCCCTGAGCCGCCACACGGGGTGGCCTTGCAATCGCGGGTCGTCCCTGGGATGTTTATATACGTTTGGGCCGTGGCCCAGCGTGCTTGCACATGCCGAACGCGCGTGCTGCTTGCTCCCCCCCTCTCGTTTCCGACCACGGGCTGTGGACGCTCCCTCTACCGTGCCACGGTTGCACATCTCTCTACATGCATTCACCTACCCCAGGAGTAAACCAACAAAAAAAAAATGGTGTCCTGGATGCTTGGTCCCAGAAATTCCCGAGGCCCTCGGTGCCGTACAAGTCGTGGAATTCCGCGGGGTAATGGTGGTACATTGCGGAGAACCACTCGTGGGGCAACAAGATCGAGGCCGTGGCTTCCGTGACGGCCGTTGTCTTGGGGTCGAGGCATGGGATCGTGATGTCGAGGGGGTCGGGCAGCATGCTCTTCCCCAACATCCTGGTCAATTGACCGTGGATGTTCCCAGGGTAGTGGCCCCAGGAGCCGAGGGAAGCCAACCTTTGAACTTCTGGGTGGTGAAGGCCGTCTCTGAACGCTGCCATCGCCGTTTGTTGAACTTCGGTTGCTGCTTTCAACCCCCAAGTCCACGCTTTCAGTAATAGCGTGCCTAAGTTGGAAAATTCAGGCTGTGGTTCTGCGGGCGCGACAGGTGCAACGTCGGGGCCGCCGTCGCCATCGCTCGAGGGCGGGGGGCCTTCCAGGCGACGTGCCTTGCGGCGCTTTGGCGCCATCTGGGCCGATGGTTAACGAGCCTCGAATCCCTCGAGCCGACGCCTTCGGGCTTCATCTAGATTGCACGACGAAGCGGGTGACAGGGATTGGCAAGACGAGAAGGGGAGAGGACAGGCGGGCGCCCTTAAACGAGCTCGCGGCCAACGGTCGTCGTTGCCAGGTGCCGCGGGCGTGCCGCGCGACCGACGCCGCGCTCGCAAGGGGGTGGGCGCCGAGGGTAGCAGACCAAGCCCGACCACGTCGGACTGCGTCTCATCTAAGAGGGGGGCTCGGTCCTCAGACGTGACTCGCAATTATCGTCACGCCGTTGCGAGGCCGATATTTGGAACGCTAACGAAACCAGGAGATGCCAGGAGTGGGTACCATCGTGCTTCAGGCCGCGACGCGCAAGGCGCGATTACCTTCGCGCCCCAGGACGGGAGGCCACTCGCATTTCGATACATGGGGGGGGGGGCAACATGCACGAATAAACCAACGATCGAACCACGTCTCATAAACTTGTGATCCACGGCCTGCGCTGCTACCTCTGGGCGCGCTCCACCACCCTAAAAATATGATGCCTGCGGGGTGTGCGCTGTCGCCTCTCGAGGCACATCGTCGAGCCCGTTTCGTTTCTTCGAGCCCACATGGGCCGTGTGGAACATGCGGCATCGCCTGCTGAGAAGGCTTGGGGCCCTGCGAAACATATATGCACACCCCTGGCAGGCGAGGCCGTGGCAGCCTAGTTGACCACCTTGAGCGCGCTGGCCGCCGAGAAGATCGTCTTCGCGTCGGCAATCACCTTCTTGATATCCTTGAGCTCGGGGGCGTCGTCCGTCAGCAGCGTCGTGACGGTGTTCCCGAGCTTCTGAATGTTGTCCAGCACCTTCTAGGAACAAGCTACAGCACGGTTATTCAAAAAAAAAAAAACCTCCATCCTCCGTCACCACTCCCCGCCTACCCTTCTCTACCTTCAACTATTTCCCCTATCTGCTACATGTCAGACTGACGTCAGCCTGCTGTCAGGCTGACGTCAGGCTGACGTCATCACGACGGCATGCTTACGTCAGGCTGACGCAAGCCTGCTGTCAGGCTGACATCAGGATGATGTCAGCCTGCTGTCAGACTGACGTCAGGCTGACGTCAGCATGCTGTCATGCTTACGTCATGCTGACGTCAGCCTGCTGTCAGGCTGACGTCAGCCTGACGCCAGTCTGCTGTCAGGCTGACGCCAGCCAGTCAGTCGGTCTGACCGATGCCTTAAAGGGGCGCGGACGCTTCCAGAGGGGGAACCCAAGGTACTTCCAAAAGGGCGATGGGAGGAGGAGAAGGAGGAGAAGGGGGTAAAGGGCGAGGCGGAGGATGAGGCCAGGCTAGGAGGGAGAGGGAAGGAAGAGGACGTTGACGAAGTGCTATGGAAGAAGGGCTATGGAAGGTGGATGGGTAAATTGTGAAAGCTGGACCTTCCTCGCCGCCTCGACGTCCTTGTCGCCGTACTCCGACGGCGTCCTCTTCGCGACGCGAATGACGGGGACGAACGCGGTGCTGCTGTCCTCTCGGGATGTGAGCCCCCCTCCTCCCTCCTGCCTCCCCCATCCCTCCTCCCTCTTCTCGCTCCTTCTCTCCTCCCTCCTCCCTCCTCTCTCCTCCCTCTCCTCGCTCCTCCTCTCCTCCCTCCCCCCTCCTCCCCCTCCTCGCTCCTCCTCTCCTCCCTCCTCCTCCCCGTTCACTCCTCCTCTCTCCTCACTCTCCCTCATCCTTCCTCTCAAAGATACTGAGACCCACAGACAGCATGGGCCAATTACGGCACCGTTTCCACGCCCGCCTGCGCAATCCGGACTCGATTCCCCGTTCGCCATCGCGTGGGAGGTGGCCCGAAGAGAGGGGGGGGGGGCGGAGGGGAAGGACGACTAGGAGGAGGAGAGGAGGCACTGGAGGCGAAGGGCGAGGAAGGGGAGGTGGAAGGGGGAGAGGGGGAAGAGAATGAGGCGGACGATGAATAAGAATGAGGTTTCGTCGAGGCCAAGTATCCTTGACGCTGCCGCTCACCTTCTGGAGCGCCTCCACCCCCTTCGCCGCGACAGTGATCGCGGATGCGCTGATGCCAGCGACCCTCTCGCACGCTTTCTTGATGCCGTTCACCTCCTTCTTGCTCTGCTTGGCGACCTATGGCTCGCGCTGCGTTTCAATTCAACCGATTCCCAGGTTCCAGGGGCCTCAGAGGTCCACCCATGGACCACATTCCAAGATTAATGTCTAAGGGGTTCAGAATAGACCACGTCCCAGGACACGGGCCAGGAATATCACATGGACCAAGTTCCCCAAACAATGGTTGCACCCGAAACACTTCGAGCCCAACGAGGGCCCCGCCGCGAGGCGTCGATGTCTTTGCACAAGTTCACTGTTTAGGATCCCCCACGTCATCTCATGCCGACTGCTCCCCATCATCATAGGCAGGGAAGGAGCTGACGAAGAAGAAATATTTCCGATAGGGGGGATGGGGAGAGGCAGCGTTGAGGGCGTTGAGGAGGGCGAGGGCCGACGAGGGGCAGGAGCTGAATGAAACTACCGCGAGCAGGGAACATAGATTTGGCAGGAAGGACCGTGCCCTTCTTGTTGCGGGGCGCTGGCACGACATCGTCGTCAATGGCGGCGGCTCCAGGGAGATCCAGGCCCATGTGAACCATGCTGCCTGCTGAGAATCACAGGCAAGCTTGCTTATAGTTTGTCAGAGGTTTCCAAAACACGATAGACCGACCTTAAGCCGCAAAGGTATGTTATTGTCAGTCTAGCAGTGGTCGTTCGGTAGTTCGATCAGAACCAACCAGCCCTTCCGAGAAGCTAACCTCAGCTAGCCCCACCCCCAGTGTTCTCTTCGAGGGAGTAAAAACAGCACCAGCGATTTTGCATTCACAGAGCTTCTGCAACGTTTCTTCACTAGAATACCCCTCCCCCCGAAAGACCCCTTGTCACCCCGATGCCGTGGGCAGCCAAGTCGTGCGTGAGGCGCATCCCGCTCATGCCTGACCCCATGTCGTCCCAATCGGCTTGGGACAAGGCCTTCCTCCCAGAGCCTGATTGCTCCTTAGAGCGCCTGAACCTCTTGGTCTTCTTGTCCTCCACGACCTTGTATTGGGGGCGGCGCGGGTTGCTCGGGTTCGGCCTGACCTGGGGCACCCGATGCGGGGGCAGGAGGAGGGGAATGAGAGGGGCAGGAGGATGAGGAGGAGGACGAGGAGGAGGTAGTGGGAAACACACATGAGGAGGGTGAGGGGGATGAGACGGTTGAGGACCGAGGAGGGCGAGTTTGAAGAGGCTGCATTTTGAACCGTGGATCAAGAGTTGCACGAATATAATTATAGGGGCACGGCTGAAATCCAGGCGCACGCCATACTTCGAAGAGGAATTAGGTTACGAAGAAGAAACGGGCGCATGGCCCTCACGCGGTCGAAGGAGCGGACCAGAGCCAGGGCCGCGCGGGCAGGGCGAGGTTCAAGGTACGAGACAGGGCCAGGGCCACCAAGGCGATTTTTGGGGCTGTGTTTGTGAGAGAGGAAAGGATAAGATGATTGTGCGAACCTCGATCTTCGCCTCGGAAATCATCTCCTCCGCCTCGCTCTCGTCGAACATGTCGAGGAGCTGCTTGCGTGAAATCCAGCGCTCCTCACGCGACACGTCCTCCTGGAAAGACAACTTCTGCGTCACGCTCATAAAGAGCTCTCCCAGGGACGGGTCGACCAAGTAGCCCATCAACATTCTGGCCTTCGTGGCCTGTTTGCCGCCGCCCTTGGGCAAATCCTCAGCCTGGTGCTTCCAGAGCGGAGCCAGCGGACAGAACGTCGATCGATTGAATCGAATCCCCGTGGCCATCGCACGTATCATCAATTCTGGACGGTTCGCGTATCCCCACCAGCCCGTCCATGATGGATTGCAAATTTTCTCGAGGCCTCGTTGGGGGCTATCCTGAGCCATGATCGGCTATTGGCTGTCGGAGGCTATCTGGAGCCATGCTCGGTTACCTTGGGCCATCTTGAGGCTGCCTTGAGGCCTCTTGGAGGTATGTCGGAGGCTATCGTGAGCCAGACTTGGCTACCTTAGGCCATCTTGAGGCTGTCTTGAGGCCTCTTGGAGGTATGTCGGAGGCTATCGTGAGCCCTGCGCGGCTACCTTAGGAAATTTTGAAAACCATCGTTGCCTATCGTGGGCTCTCTTGGCGCCATATTGGGCCAAACAATGTGTAGTGGGGGGTCGCTTGGGGGAGGCTGGGCGGCCTCTTGGGGTCATCGTGGGCCCCATGGCTCAAAAAGAGGAGGTCCCTCAATTAGCACCGCCCCCTTCGGTGGCTCTCAAACGGCATATTGGGGCCCTCTTGTAGCGCCCCTGGGCGCCTCTTGGGCGACAGTGGGCCGTCGTCGGCCTTATTGGGCATCTTTTGGGCAATATTGTGGCAATCGTGAGGCTTCCAAAGCACATCGGAAACGAAACGGCGATACTACCAAACACTTTGATGTTTCTTATGCTGTTGAAGGGTTTTGGCATCTTGGAGGGCGCCGCGGGGGGCTCGGAGGGCACGTGGATCCGTCTCGGGGCTGTTTGGGGGCCTCTTGGGGGCATGTCGGGGACTATCTTGGCACATATGCCATATTGGATGACATCTTGCGACTTTGGAGCCCTCTGGGGGCAGAGCGGGCCATATTGGACGTCGCTGCGCCTCCGCATACCCCCCCTCCCCTCAGGCCCAGGGGGCGGGGTAGGGGGATGGGGTAGAGAGGCGAAAACAAAGGTTATGCCACGTAAGCCCAGAGGACTGGTGAGATTAGTCCTTCCCACA